AGTGAAAAATTAAATGATCCTACTCAAACTAACAAAAACGCAATATATCATTCTTATTATTACTAGGGAAACAACATGTACTTGGCAAATCAAGTGAAACTGTGGGAGTGGGGAGAAACAAAGAAATCTGTAACTGGTTGATGATCAATTAGTTATAAACATTACAGCACCCAGACCCACCGTCTCCCTGGGGGAATGTGCATAGAAATCTAACACAATAACTTCATTCCACACGTACCAGAGCATGACCACAGCCACAATGGGTCCGTGCACACATCACTAACAAGGAAGATTAATGACAAAATTAAATGGAGCCAACCCATACCGGGAACATGCATCAAAAACACCTTTAGTACTGACAATGCCCTTTAAATAAACCAGTTAATTTTGATGTATTTTAACATGTCCTTTGAGAAACTCCAGGGAATTTCCCAAAGCCGTACTAAGCCAAAAGGTTAGGCTGTTTAATTCTGGGAAGCCTCGTCAAGGAACCAAAGGTGAACAAACAAGAAATTCCATAGAGCTGTGCCAGACACGGGACCCCCTTGTAGCCTGCAGAACAAGGGGTATCACTCAGGCTCCCATGCCATTCCCTATAGCAGGATGGCTCACGGCAGGGTCTCCACTGCGGCCACCCCCTGGACTGTGGTATCTGGCGGCTGCGCCCCCAGCACCAGCCCCTGCGGCCCTTGCCTACATCTCCTCGGTACCCGTCATGCCTTATCCGCCGGCCACTGTGTAAGCGCCTTTCTGTCCCTCCTTCCCAGCCTCTCTGTCTGAAAGGCTGAATGAATTAGCTTTCAGACCTGTGTCGGGCAGCTGAGAACCCAGGTGCGGTGATCTCCTGTTTCATCCCCGCGTGGACAACGTGCAGTACAAGCCCAACACTCATGTAGTCACTCAGCAAACCCACGTGCCAGGGAGAGTGCTCGGTGACGGAGACTGGCGAGAGGGCCCTGCCCTCTGGGAGCTTACAGCTTCGGGGGATCCAGAACCCTGTGCATCTCCCATTTCCTCCTGTGTCCTCTCAGCAAGCAAGTGAAGAGCACTCACTTGTTTTTTTAATAGACTTTATTATTTTCAATACTTTTAGATTTACAGGGAAATAGACCAGATAGTACACGGAGTTCCCGTATACCACAGACCCCCCCCCACACACACACAGTTTCCCCTTTTATTAACATCTTACCTTAATAGGATACGTTTGTCACAATTAATGAACCAATATTAATGCATTATTATTATCTAAAGACTATAGACTATTCAGGTTGCCTTAGTTTTTATCTAAAGTACTTTCTCTTTTCTGGGATCCCATCCAAGATACCACATGACATTTAGTTGTCACGCCTCCTTAGGCTCCTCGTGGCTGTGACAGTCTCTCAGACTTCCCTTGCGTTTGATGACCTTGACAGTTTGAGGTGTACCGGCCAGGTATCCTGTACGATGAATACTGACTTTCGACATGGACTTTGGATGTAACATAAGTCAAGGCAGAAAATACATCACAGTCGAGACAGAAGTGGCTCAGTTTTAGTCAGACAGAGCTGCGTCGGAATCCTTCTGTCCCTCATTAGCGCTGTGGCCTTCGCAAAGCTACTTCCTCCCTGAGCCTCCATTTCCCCGTCTGTTAAATGGGGGAGTAGCCTCAGTCGTGGGCACTTGTGTGAAGATGAAATGAGGCACGTGGCAGAACCGAGACGTTTGTGGGTTTGTGGTGCAGAGCTGGCACGAGCACCTCGCTGCACAGACAGCTTTGCCGTCACAGAGAACACTGCAGTTGCTCAGGGTTGTCGTTCGTAAGAAGAAAGATGAGTAAAACTGGGCTCAACATGACAGGATTGTGTAGGGGGGAAAAAGCCTTGACCCTGGAATTAGGAAACCTGTCTTCTTGTCCAACTGTCACCAGCTAGTTCTCTGCCTCAGTTTCCCCCACTGTAAAATGAGTCAGTTGGAAGTGGATGTCTTCAGCGGCTGTATTGTCAGAAGCTTGTCTCTGTGACAGCTGGTACTTGGTGGGAGCAGAGACCCAAGTGACAGCTGGTACTTGGTGGGAGCAGAGACCCAAGGTGCGATCCAGCCTGGCCCTCTATCAGAAACCAGACCTGTCAATGCCGGTTCTTGCTGCCCTCTCGGCTGAGTCTGGGCAAGTCATTAAGGACACTTTCGCTCCAGCAATGATAGCCCATGTGGAATGCTCAGGCCTCCTGCAGAAGTGGCTGCAAACACCTGCCTTTGTCCCAACTTATGCACAGGAAAGGTGTTGGTTGGAATGAGGTGGCCCCATGGTAGCCATGGGGTCTCTTTACTTCTCCTGAGACCCTGTTCCCTAACCTTCCAGACTCAGACCTGTGAGCGGGACTAACCAGATGACCGTCTCCAGGCTTGGATGGGCTGTGGGGCAGGTGAAACAGCCTCAATTAGTGGCCAGTGTGGCTGCATAACCTCTGGTGGTTCAGTTTGTTCCCTTGTGACACAGTTTCTTCCTCTGTCGAACGGATTGTGGTAAGGATTAAATAAACTAATGCATGAAAAGCTCGTAGTAATTAAAAGAGGGCCATAAACCGTACTCCTTCTAGTGTGCTAGAATTTGGGCTTGTGACGCCCTAAATTTCTCCAGCACTCCCTTGGGAGGACTGAGCATGCTCAATGGCTGAGGCCAGTGCAATGTTTAAAATGCTGATTGGCCTGTGCTGCCACCTGCTGGTCCAGTGCCCTACAGCCCCTGCAGTAGAGGCTTTGTTGCCCAGAGGGATTTTTGCAGTTTCTGCCCCCTGGAGCGTCTGGGTAACTTTCAGGCCAAGCTCTTCATCAAATTCAAAGAAGATGGAGGTGTATGGGAGCCCAGTAGTTACACCAGATAAACCCTGAAGGAGGGAATATAGGCTGTTGTTTAGTGGATGCAGAAAGCCCAGTTCATTCTGTTCTGATGATATCTATGAGCATCTGCTGCCTGCTAATTGGCACGTGTTAGAGATGCTGGGACAGTGTCATCTGTGTGCGGTTCCGTTCCTGACCTTTCCGGCTCTCTGACTGTCACTCTTAAGAGCTCACATTTACAGAGCACGTCCTGGGCCTGGCAGTGCAAAGCATTTTTTCTCTCTCTCTCTCTTTTTTTTCTTTTAGAGATATTTATGGGGTATAGAGTTGACTGTCACTATTTGTACATGGTATGGTATTGAGCAGAGGATGCTGGAGACTTCGAGCTTGAGGACTGTGGCCCTTGTCGGGGGGTAAACAAGGCATTGGCCTGTGAGGGCACAGGACTGGGCACTGGGGCCTCAGGTTTACGGTCCTGCCACTGGATGGCTTTGGCAGCTCACACATGGGATTGCCCAAAGAATTCAGCCCCAGATTTCCTGCCACTCGAGTAGTGCATTCGTCACGAACCTCTCTGGGTCTGGGAGGAGACCAGCCCTTCTTTGCAGGACTCCTGGCTCCAGGGGCTTGGCTCTGTCTGCCACCGAGTGGGCCACCTCAGACATGGCTCTATCTCAAGGGCTTCAAACACTCCCAAGATATGATTTCACCTGGTTTCAAGGGAACAACCTCACCCCTAGGTGTCATCTCCTTCTGGGTCTAGGGAGGGCACCCTGAGGACAGTTCCATGGGGATACCCAGCTGCTCTGGCCTAAATCTGAGTCTCCCACATCACCCTCCCTGCCCCTGCACTGGCCCAAGCAGCTCACTCTTGCCAGGAGGCCCACTGCAGCCTCCCCAAAGGCCTTCCAGCCTCATCTGTCCCTTCCACTTCACCTCCCAGATAGCCATGATGACAAGTCTGAACTAAAGTCCTTTGTGATTGGCACCACATGCCTGAATCCCCGCACCCCCACCACCATCCACCTCTATTCCTACTTAGTGTCCTCTGTGTCCGGGTTCCTCAGACATGTCCTCCCAGGTCCTTGTTTGCAGGAACAGCAGGTTTCATCAAGCTCCTAATCTTTCCAGCCTGGTTCAGAAACCCCTTCCAGGTGTTAGGACACAGAGGAAACTGCAGATTTCACAACGTAAGTCTAGGTTCTTGGTGTCTCCAACAAAGAATTGGACGAGACACGCCAGAGGTGAAAAACAGAGCAGTTTATTTAGTAAGAAAGGACATTCCAGACAGCATGGAGAGGGCTCCAGCGATCTGTAGCTCAAGAGACCCAGGCGACATGCAAAGAGCAGTTTTACTTAGAAAGAGACAGAGGACACCCCATCAAGAGGATGGACAGGGCTGCAGGGAGAGAGAATGGCTCAAGAGCACTGAAAGTTACATTCCTGGGGCTTTCAGTCCTCCCAGCTGGGTTCGTGTCCTTTGGTCACTGGTGGAGCCCTGGTAGTCTCTGTTGATTGGCACCTTACCTGGTGGGAGCCCATTGGTCCTACCGAATGGGGCACTAGCTGGGGGCAGAGCTCCCCGTCTGTCTGTATTTCCCGAGGCTGTGCCAGCCTATGTCCTCAGGGAACCAGCTCTAACAACTCTCCTACTCACAAACAACCAGGTTTCCTCTTCCCACTCTTGTCCTTTCCCAACTTCCTGCAACACAGGTCACCTTCCCAGACTTCCCCACTGCAGATGGAAGCTTCCCTGTGCTGGGCTCCCACAGCACCCGGTGCCTGTTGTCCATCCTGCCATGTGGGCTGGTCATTACATCAGGGGCTCTTCCAGCCTGGGTCGGGGTCTTATCCAGCACCCAGCCAGGGCTCAAGTCAGGGCAGGCTTCAAAATGAATGAATGAATGAATGAATGAGTGAATGAATGAATGAGTGAGCAAACGGACACGTGACTGACAACCTGACTGCTCCAAATGCAGAAGTTTTATTGAAGCAACTGGAGGAAAGAACTGAGGTACAAAGGGCAGGGCGTGGGGCGGGGTTGAGGATGGCCCCGACGTCCCTGAGCTCCTGTCCCAGCACTGTGTCCTCCTAGGACTCCTCTGTTCTCTTATTCCTCTCCTCCTCGAGCTGCGTCTCCAGCGGCCCGCACTGA